CAGCTCTGAAAAGTGGTTTGCATTGTAATTTGTTCCCTCTCAGGATCAGGCCTGAGAGACTGGAGGCAGAGTGTTTGTTGGGTGAGAAATGCGCCCCCACAGGTAGTTGGGTTTTGTTGTCTTTGATAGATTCCAGTGTGCAGTTTGTGGGGTACTGGAGATAGTTGGCAGCTTTTGTTTTTTGAGCTGTAGGAAGATGGCTTCAGTTCTGGTGATGACGTTAAGTGCTTGTTTGAATGTACAAACTACTTTTCAGAGCTGGATGGGATCACTGCCGACTCACACAGGCCTAATAGATATATGTATTATAAGGGTTCAAGATGGGCAGCAGGGGTTAACTGGATTTCTAAAGAGCTTGGGAGACACACACACAGCTTCTCCTGGCCCTGCAAACAGACGGGGTGTCTAGCACAACAAGGCCAACAGATGGACACAGCCTGAGAATTGATGGGGACATGCCATAACATAAGATCACAGCCTTCAAGGCAGACAGGTTGTCTAACCCAACAAGGACACAGAGCCTGGGAACTGAGGAAGCATATACCGTACTGTCCCATAACACAAGATAAGTACACCAGCTACAAGGCCCCAGAGCAGCGGGTGGGGGCTGAGTCCTGGTTTTGGTGGAATACACCAAATTAGGAGAAAACCAGGAAGGCTACGTGGATGTGTGACCACAGAGAGACAACCAACCAGAGATAGCCATGGATGAAGAATCATCAGGACTCATCAACAGCACAGGTGAATAGAAAAGCAGAGACTTGAGATTAACAAAGGGTCCCTCCCTTTGTCCTGTCTCTCCCTGTTCCTTCTCATCCCACCTGGGTTCCTCCTCCTTCTCCTCCCTGAAAGGGGTCCCATCCCCATCCCCTGGGAAGGGACCCTGAGGTCGCCATGGACAGAGGGCACATACCAGCAGCCCATCTCATGTGCCCCACTGGAGGGGGGCTGTGGGCCTCGGCATCCAACCTCCAGACTGCTGATACCTAAGAGAAAGTCTCATAATGGAGCCTGCATCCGGACCAGATGTACTTTGACTCTGATGACAGCTCTAGCATTAGCGGATACAGAATTGTGTGACTTTATTGTTGCTGTTTTGTTATCACTCTGTATCAATACACTCGCCTATAATCAACTGGCAGGTGTTGTGGTCCATCTGAGGGTTGTACTCATCTGGAACAAAGGTATATTGGCTGGGTCTAAATCCAGTGCCAACAAGGGCAAGCTGGGATCCCATTTCACACTGAACTTGGGCACTGTAGAGCCTGGCAGTTATCAGGAAAAGCAGGCACAGTGTCATGATCTCAAGCACCAGGGGGATTGGTGCCCACAGGAGAGATTGCTGCATGGGCTTGGCACAGAAAGGGAGAAAAAGTAATTGAAAAGAGATGAGAAGCGAAGGCTTCCTACCTGAGAAGAGAGGTTGGACTGGAGTGTTGGAGCATTTCCAGACTAGAAGAGCCAGCACCCTCCATAGGGCAGAGGAGCAAATTACCAAAGAGTGGCTGGTCACTGTACCAAGAGGCCTAAAAGAAGGTTAAAGGGAGCAGGGTGCACAAGGCCAGGAGAGCTAGGAGACATGCTGCCTTTGTTCCAAATATATACAGCCAGGATTCACACTTGGGTTTGACCCATAACACAGCCTGAACATGAGAGAAAAATCTCAGGGATAAAATGTCTGTAAGTGTGAAGTCTTGTGGGTGCAAACAATCTGCTTATTATGAGCAGTACTGGAGTGTGTGGATTCAAGATCATACAAGTGCAATAATGACTACAAAGTGTGCTAGAGACCAGACTTATTCTTCACAGCAGGGCTTGGGGATGAGCTGGTGCAGCCACATCCATCCCCTGCAGGAGCCCTCTTGGAGGCCCAAAGGAGTGAGCAAGCAACATTGAGGAAGAGCACTAGGGTTCCTTGTTTGTTTCTCTTGGGCTCTGAGGTAGCAGAGGGGAATCAGAAAGGCTCAACTTAAAACAAAGCTAAATGCACAGTACTGACCCATAGCCCCTCTCTGTCACACACTGTAACCTCTGCATCTGGCATGCAAAGTGGTCTGTCTCCGGTGCTCTGGAGGAGTTCCCATGTGGAGGTCTGCCAAAGTATCCTTGTGCTCTTGCATTCACAGCGGATTCCAGCGGAGATGATTTAGACATGAGTGAAATGGATTCAGGGTTAGGATGGGAGGAGGAACTGGTAGGTCCAAGAGTGACTCAGACACAGAGTGCAACCACGTGGGCTACAGCTGAGAAAGAAATGGTTACTTGTCCTGAGAGAACCATGGTGGTTTCCAAACATGTCTCCTTTGTGAGTCCAAGCAAAAGGGAATGAAGATTCGAAATAATTTTGCAAAATAAATTGGGAAAGAGAGAAATCGGGAAGAGAGAAAGGGAGAGAGAGAAAGAGAGAGGGCGATTCCCTCCTGAAATGGCAACATCCTTGGCACTCTCACTAGACATAGGAAAGTCAAGATGTCTCAGCATACTCCTAACTGGCTGTCCTGAGCACCCGACATTGAAGTCCTCAGATATCATTGGCCTGGGTATGGCAGGTGACTGTATCACTACTGAGTGATGCATTCAGCTGTCATAGCCAGGGGAATGGTTTGTGAGATGAGACAACAAAAAGAAAAGACCAAGCTCAGTGATTTTACCCTTGACATCCCCCACTCTCATAACACACCAATACAAGCAGTCACATGCCTGTGTCTGTCCTGTGCCCTGTGATATGCCTTGTGAGGCTGCAACTCCCTCAGTGGGTGAGAGTGAATTCTGCTCTCAGGTCGCAGTGCTTCCTCCTGCTGCCCCAGCACAAAAATTCAACAATCCCAGAGTGTGAGAAACAGGTGCTCAGTGGTGAACTCTGCTTTTCTGTAAAAATACACAGCACTGTATACCAGGCCTCTTGGACAGGATTCGCAATAGCCTCCAATAGACTTCCCAGTGTCCATCAGTTTTCACAGGAGTCAGTGGATTTGAGGAGTGTATTTGTCTTGGGGCCTCTGAGAATCCAGGCCTTGATGCACTGGGCAAAGGTCTGGGTAGGAAGACAGGATCCATGGGACATCCCTGCTCAGTGCCAGTGAAGGGCTGTAGTGATGGAGGGGGTCTGAAAATCTGTTTGGGGGCTGAATTGTAAACACTCAGGTTTGAGCCATTTGGCCCTAGACTTTGATTCAGTGGTCACAGGGCGTCTCCTCCAGTTCAGTGCTGCTGTGCAGGGATGGCTGTTCAGACTAGGAGGAGTGGTCAGCAATGGAGAAGTGGCTGCACACGAGCATGAGAGACATGGGTGCTCCCCTGTGAACATGGCTTTTCTATGAAAGAATATAGCCCATATTCCTGATGCCATTACACAGGATGTTCAGTGAAGCCCAATGAACTTTACACTGACAGCTCATTACCTCCTGAGACAATGGGTCACCAGTAGAACAGCCGTCACTACAACACGTGTCACTCGTCAGCAGAACACAACTCCTGGGGGACAGCTGTCCTGGGCCCCTGGGACTGCAGCCCATGGACCCCAATTAACTAACCTCCTTTTACCCCTTCCCAAATAAAGCCCTGTTTTGGATGGCAAAGTGTCCAGGCAACAAGGCTCAACCCTGTACCTAGGCTGCCACATCCCTGGTGCACGCTGCTACTGGCTAACAGATTACTTAGGTACCTGAGCTGGCAGGTCTGACATCGCTTTCTGCCTGACCCTCTGGATTCTCCACTTGGTCCTCCAAACGGATCACCTGGCTTCTGACTTCTTGGCTTCTCCTGACCCTGAGGTGATCTCCAGTCCCAGCCACTCACAGCCTGGTAGGACACTGAACCTAGTAGAGTTGCCAGGGTGTGTGCCGCTGTTTCTGACCTCTCCACCCCTATTATTCATACGGAGACACAGGGATAATTGGCAATTATTTATTTCAGAAGCAAAGGACAAATCCCATAACATATAGAGGGCATGGCATCTCCATAGGCAAATATAGGAAACTCAAACCATGGGGCTTTGGTAGTCGGGCAATTCCAGGCTCTGCGCTGCAGAGAGCAGGAGGCATCTGCGCCTGGGGAAGGGCAGTCACTGCAGGATGCAGGCATTTTCCATCTCTCATTTGCAGAGGTCTGAGATGCCCCTATGGCCATACACACCCTTGCGTCCTGGGTTTTCCTCTTTGCCCAAATGTGTGCCAATGGATACTCAAAATACAAAATGGAGAAAGTGAGATCTGGGGGTTTAAGCAGAAAGGCCCCATGTCTGTTGGCTCCAGCACATGCAGCTCTGTTGCTGGGGAACCGATTCAGGAAATAGGCACACACAAGACATTCCTAAGGAGGCAGAAATAAATGATGTTGGCCTGTGTCTATGTAGCATCCCACCCTACCCCGAGCTAGCAGCCCCACTGCCCCATGATGCGGTTTAGGATTTTCTTGTTCTCCCTGAACACGACAGCAGAGGATTCCAGGTTCTTGGATGAAGGGTACACTTCCACACCACCACACTCCTCTCCCTGCTGCAGTTAATTCTTTGATCAGTCCCCTTTGGGCAACACAACTGGTGGGGTTTTCCTGTTAACATGTCCGTACCGATTCCTTCCTCCTCTTCTCACAAATGCAGAAGTGAGTTTCTCTGCAGATTCCTCCAGCCTTAGCTCTCCCACCGTGGATATAGGCACAAACTCTGTCCTGATCATTCTTCAGACTGAGGTCTTGGAGATCAAACCTGGAATGGAAGTCCAGTGTTTACAGTTCATGTTCACCTCCCTGAACTCACCACACCAAGACACAGGGCTGGGGGGCTCTCGGACCTGGTTGTACCTACAGTGAGCTATGCTAAACAATGAAATACAGAAGGAGGATCAGGGATGGTTTGTTGCTCAAGGCTAGAAGTGGTTGGGTGAGACTAGACTATCTAAGCACAGGATCCTTTCATGCACATGGTATGTTGTACAAGACAGTGTACTAAAAATCACGTTCTGACCATCTCCACCCCTTCCTCACCTAATCGTCCCCTTGCCAGAAATTGCTCCTGAAATGAAACATGGTGCATGCTCTAATTTGTGTGCCTCCTATAGCTGACTGTTTTTTCTCTTGAGGGATCTCCATTTCTATGATGAGAAAGAAAAAAATTCTCTATACTTCCGTATGCAGCCACAGATCACCTGAGTACACACAGCATCTATCATATAAACTCATGCATCAAGTGGCTTTTCCATATACCACCTCCCCTTTCCCAACATCTCATGCTCCCTTGTAATAAACAAATGTTGTGAACCCTTGAGTAGCCCAACTGGCTGCCCTTTCCAAAGTGATGATGGACCTTAGAATAGACATTTGTTATGGGGAGACATGTTGTCAAAGTGAGGAGGTGTCATGGCCCTGTTCCTACCCGCTGTCTTTGCACTCAGACTTCCCCAGGCCCCCCACACCAGTTTTTCTTTGACTTTCAAACTGTAGGTCTGCTTGTGGTGTGTGAGGTTGAAAGGTCCCTCACACATGGAAAGAGTTAGATGTGATCAGACCACAGATCTGTAGGAGCATTGGGAAACAGGAGTTTATCACAAACAGGACCAAGGAGGTGATCCTCCCCCTCTATGCGACACTGGTCAGGCCACAACTGGAGTACTGCATCCAGTTCTGGGCACCACACTTCAGGAGGGATGTGGACAGCGTTGAAAGGGTCCAAAGGAGGGCCACTTCCATGATCCAGGGACAGCAGGGCAGACCCTACAGTGAGAGGCTACGGGACCTGAACCTGTTCAGCCTCCACAAGAGAAGGCTGAGGGGGGACCTGGTGGCTGTCTATAAACTTACTAGCGGGGACCAGCGGGGATTGGGAGAAACCTTGTTTCCCCGAGTGGCTCCAAGAGTAATAAGGAATAACGGCCATAAGTTGCTAGAGAGTAGGTTTAGACTAGACATCAGGAGGCGCTACTTCATTCAGGGCAGCTAGGATCTGGAACCAACTTCCAAGGGAAGTGGTGATGACTACTACCCTGGGGGTCTTTAAGAGGAGGCTCAACATTTACCTGGCTGGGGTCATTTGAGCCCAGTTTTCTCTCCTGCCCATGGCAGGGGGTCAGACTAGAAGATCTACAAGGTCCCTTCAGACCCTACGTCTTTGAATCTATGCATCAAAGGTTGGGGTTGTTTTGGGACCTGCACTAGTAGGCGAGTCTATTGCCAAGTGAGTCTCTAGCAAAGTTCAAGACCCCATTTGTCTGGTGCAGTCTTTAGCCCTCATCTCCATGGTGAATTGCATAGTGGTGGGAATGATGCACATTGGTGCAGATGTGAGGGCATCCTAGGGACATAGACTTACAAGCCAGAGGAAAGATCCAAGTCATCTGCCCAAACCCACTTCCCGGATCCAGGATCATACGACAGACCAATCCAGAATGTGTAATACTGGGAAACACCATCATGATCTTCAAAATAGTGAAATGATTCTTTTTTTATGAAATCCTAAAATACAGAGAAAATGAATTATTTCAGCTGTCAGAGAGTGAGAATGCCAGGAGAGCGCTAGCTGGGTCCTGCCAGTTCCCCACACACACTACTCCTGCAGGCCTCGGTGCAGAGCTCACCCCTCTACCTAATGTTGTGTTCTCACTTCCAGGGTTACAGCCTGCTTGCTCCCCTACAGTTTACTTCCCAAAACCAAGTGAATTTGCCCTGCTATATTAAATGTTGCAGCCCAGATCTTTTGTTTGTCAAGACATTTCCATTAACATCTGTGAAATTAGTTAAGGGTGCAGACAGCAGCTGGGTTAAATATATTCTCCCAAAATTCACAAAGGGAACAACCCAAGGAACCAGTCTTTGTTTTGCCAGAGGTTACACTGCAGCCTTGGATGTCTTCCTTAAACCACAGTTTTCCCCTTGAGTAGTGGGTTCAGCTACCAGCCAAATGAAACCCCTTCACACCTTCTAACATAGAGGGGGGGGCAACTGAGGAGATGGAGGAAACTAGAGAGCCAGGCCATGGGGCTTTGGTTATTTTATGCTCAGAGTATCCAAAAGGAAAAACACAAAGTTTGTCTGTGAAGGAATAACAATCATGCTGCACATGGAAACCCATCAGTGAAGAACCTTTTTCTCAGAAGATCCTACATATTTTTGGAGTCTAAAATCACTTTAGAAATGAGGCTGAGGGTGCAGACGGATGGGGTTCTTTTGCTGTTTTGGCCCTCACTGGGGATGATTCAGAGTTGAGCAAACCTACTCACAGTGCAAGACAGATGGTGGGCTCTGCCCTGTCCTTCCTGAAACACAATGCATGGCTGCTGATCCCCGCTCTGCTCCTAAACTAGTTTGCTTGCCTGACAGTGTCATGTTCTTCCCTTCTTATCCTGTGCTTTGGGGAATGGCTGTCTACAGTCCCCTAATTCCGATCCCAAGAGTGAGGAGCTCTCCAGCGTGTATTGCACTTGCCAACCCACCAGCCCTCAGGAACCTCCTGTTGGAAATCCCCAGTTGAGATCATGCCAGAGAAAGCCAAGCCCCTGGACCTGGCTCCTCTGGATCTATTCACCTAGACCAGCTCTTCTCCATCCTCAATGGTGAGCAGCTGGGCAGACTGTGAAATGCAGGAGGAATGACACTGTTCCCAAGTTCCTTTTTCAGGAGAAAAGAGACAGGAACTGTCCTTGTGGACAACCCACTGTACTGGACACTTCTCTCCTGGAACAAACACACTGCAAATCAGCTTTCCTCATCCCTCATCACTGCTGTGCTGGAGACAGAGGGATTTCATTCCCACCTTGTTCCTTCGCCTTCTATCTGGGGACAAGACTAGGATATTGTCCCCAGTACTGAGAGGTGAGCAAGAGCCAGGAACAGCAGGAGCAGACTGACAGGAGTCAGCCTCAAAGTCAGCTCAAGACAGGAATGGCTGCAGTTGGGTGGGGAAGTGTTTTTTCCTCCCCTGAAAGGTTGTGAGTATTTAAACATTTTTTCAAACCTGAGTGTGTATAATGGCAAAATCCTGGCCATTTTAATCAACTCAGACCCTCAATTTATTCTCTGTTTGGGTTGCTCCAAGATTTCCACATTTTGAAAGTCTTCCGTTTGAATTTTTACCTGTTTTAACTTTCTTTTTCCTAGTCCTCCTTAATTGGAAATGTAACATCACACACTGAAGGCCAAATCACCTCCTCCCCTTTCTTTTTGGGGGGAATATCAAAAGCCTTTCATCTGAACAAGGTTGGAACATTTTATTTCACATTTTGAATGTTACAAAGTTGTGGACATAATTCTGCCACTCTCACATGGAAAGACTTGCGGCCAAAACCTGTCTATGGGACTGTCTATGGAAGTCCCACCCTCTCCTACTGAATGCATTGCCATCTTCTGGGCCAGGGCTGGGGCCAGGTGGGAAGAAATCCATCCTCAGATGAAGGTCTGGACTCTCCCAAGTTGAGAACAACAGGAAAGCGACGTGAATCAGGCTGGGAGGAGGGACAGTGAAGGGTCCCCATTCCTCACTCCTCTCTGCAAGTGGGGCCCTTAGAGCAGGGGTAGGCAAAATACAGATCGTGGGCCAGATCCAGCCCATGGGAGTCTTGTGTCCAGCCTGCAGCAGGTTTCTCAATCCCACCTGGCCCAGGCACCATCCCACCGTGATGCATCCTGCTGCCCCAGACACACAGAGGGGCTATTACCATACTCCAGCAGACTTGATTAATTAAGTCTGCTCCAAAGCACTGTAATTACAGCGCATTGGAGTAGCCTCAACATATGTGTATAGGCACCCATTGATTTCATAGATTTCATAGACATTAGGGATGGAAGGGACCTCGGAAGATCATCGAGTCCAGCCCCCTGCCCAAAGGGCAGGAAGTTAGCCGGGTTCATAGGATCCCAGCAAGATAAGCATCCAGTTTGCTCTTGAAGGTGTTCAATGTAGGCGGTTCAACCACCTCCGGTGGCAGGCTGTTCCAGACCTTGGTGGCTCGGACAGTAAAGAAATTCTTCCTTATGTCCAGCCTGAAATGGTCTTGTAGTAGTTTATGACCATTCAACCTAGTCGTCATCCCTTGGGGTGCTCTGGTGAACAAACATTCACCCAGATACTGGTGGTCACCCCTGCAGGCTAAAGAGTCCCAGGGCTCTCAGCCTGTCATCGTAGGGTCTGCTTCCCTGACCTCTGATCATGCGCGTGGCTCTTCTCTGGACTCTCTCAAGCTTCTCCACATCCTTTTTGAATTGTGGAGCCCAAAACTGGACACAGTACTCCAGCTGCGGCCTCACTAAGGCCGAGTACAGGGGGAGAATGACGTCCCGGGATTTGCTTGAGAAGCATCTATGGATGCAAGCCAGCGTTTTGGTCGCTTTACTAGCCGCCGCATCGCATTGCAGGCTCATGTTCATCTTGTGGTCAATGATGACCCCCAAGTCTCTTTTTTCCATAGTGCTAGCCAACATAGCACTGCCGAGCCTATAAGGATGCTGCGGGTTTTTTTTCCCCAAGGTGGAGAACCTTGCATTTATCGGCGTTGAACACCATCAGATTCTCGTCCGCCCACTTGCTGAGCCTGTCCAGGTCAGCCTGGATCACCCGCCTGTCTTCTGGTGTGCATGCTTTGCCCCGAAGTTTGGTGTCATCAGAGAACTTGGCCAGTCCGCTTCTGACTCCAGCGTCCACATCATTAATGAAGATGTTGAACAGTATGGGTCCAAGGACAGAGCCTTGGGGGACCCCACTGGTCATAGGACACCCCGATGAGTGACTTCCATCAATTACTACCCTCTGGGTCCGACCCCGGAGCCAATTTTCCAGCCAGTGGATCGTGGAGGACCCAAGGCGACAATTGGCCAGTTTCTCCAAGAGGCGATCATGGGACACCAGATCGAAGGCTTTTTTGAAGTCAAGATATATGACATCAATCTCTTCTCCCTTGTCCAGGTGATAGGTCACCTGGTCGTAGAAGGAAATGAGATTGGTCAAGCAAGACCTACCCGCAACAAACCCGTGCTGGCTATCCCTTAAGATGCTGGCGTAGGCCAGTCCATTAAGGATGGCCTCTTTAATAAACTTTTCTAAGATCTTCCCTGGGATAGAAGTCAGGCTAATGGGCCTATAGTTAGCCAGATCCACTTTCCTCCCTTTCTTGAAGATAGGCACCACATTGGCCTTCTTCCAGTCTTCGGGCACTACACCAGAGCGCCAAGAGTTTTCAAAGATCCATGCTAGAGGCTGGGCTATGATGCTTGCCAGCTCCTTGAGTACCCTGGTGTGAAGATTGTCAGGGCATGACATGCGCAGCCCAACACACTCTGCGCCTTCTGCAGACTTTCCTGTTCATGCTAAAATGCAGCAGCAACACCAGTGCAAGCAGGGCAAATGTGTGCTTGGTGGGGGGGGAAAAGTGGACCCTATCCCTCACTGCTGCTCACCACTTCCTGAAGCAGTTGCTGGGAGCCCATGTGCTGGGACTGAGCGATGTTGGTGTTGGTGGGGAGGTGTCACAGGCTGTGTGGGCTCTGTGGCAGAAATGCCACCGTCGGTGCCCCTCTCCACAGATCTGTCTCTACCAGCCTGAGAGGCTGGTGTTGAGTCCCTCAGGGCGGGGATCTCCCACCTTGTCTGCATGACAAAAGCCTGGTGCCTGGGAGGCAATGCTCTAGTCACCTGGGCAGGGGGGAAAGGTCCGGCCCTGCACACGGGCCCAGGTAGCCAGGGATGCTTTGTAGATTGGTTGGCTTGTAGCCAGTATTGGCAGCTTCGATTGGACCGGGCTGCTGAGGTGAGAGAGGTGATAAAAAGGCCCGGGCCAGGAAGAAGTGCAGCCATTAGCCATGTGGTCATCCAGGTGAATCTGAAACTGGGAGAGGAGCTTCACCATCTGAAACTGGCTCTCTCCTCATAACCGCATGCTCTAAGAGTGACCTGCCTCCAGAGGAAAACTCCAACCTCCGGATGATGCGAGTGAGTAAGCTGCTACCTGTAATCAATAAAGTGCTCCTTGTGACCGGTGTGGGAGACTTATTGAGGGGTGGGTCTAAATTATGCCGAGGAGGCCCCTTAGGTCTGTGGACTAAGGGAGACTTTCCTAAATAGCCCCTGACTTGGGGAAGTGCCCCAAGTGCTTGTATTGGGTCTAGTACCCATTGGACGATCAGGCCTGTGCTTTCCAAGGTGCGCAGAGCCAGAAAGGAGTCCAGAGCCTTGGATGGTGGCAGCGGAAACCCAGGCTAGCGGGTGTGCTCCAGGGATGGGGTCGGCCGGACGGGAGGCACCCCAAGGGAGGCACTCAGAGCCTGGAAGGTGGTCGGGCGCAGGGAGGTGGGCGGCTCAACGCAGGAGTGCCCCCTACTGGCCCGCCACATGCTCCAGGCTGTTTTGAGGTAAGGGCGGGTGCTCACCAGCTCAGGGGGACATACACGGGGGTCTCCCATGCCTCCCCCACCATACCCACAAACCATCCCCTGCAAACCCCACAACCACATGCTCCCCGCCACACAATCACAAGCCAAACAATCACCATCCACACACACCCCTCCTCACATGTACCCCCCGCCCAAACACACACACACATATCTGCGGTCCTCTGGAGGGAGCCCCACACATTGCTATCTGTGCACACCACACCCCACACATGCACCTACCCCCACCCCACCCCCTCGCAACCCACCCTCTCTACCCCCCTCAGAAACCCCACACATGCACACACACACACACATCCCCCAAACACGCCCCACAAACCCCCATACTGACCCACCTACATCCAAACATACCCTCACACCCTCCCCAACATGCCACATCCACACATCTACGCACACACCTACAGCCCCACACAAACGCCATACCCATCCACTCATGGGGCTGGGAAGGAATTTCCCTACTGCTCCACACCCCTGCTTTCTATATAAGTCAGGGTTTTTATGCTTTCCTCAGTGACATTGGCTGTTGGCTACAATCATGCTGAGCATTTTGATTGGAGTGTGCCAGGGGTCCTCCTGGGATGTAATGCTGGAGGTTCCTGGATACAGGATCTTGTCCCTCCTCTCAGAGTCAGATCAATCACCATATCTGGGGTCAGGAAGGAAATCTGTTATGGTCTGTGGTGGGAGAGAGGGAGTTGCTTTCCTCTGCAGCTGGGGGCAAGGCCCTCTTCTTGGGATCTATTGAGTATGTATTAACAACCTGTAGAGAAGCAAGATGTTGGCTGCCTCATCCTACTTCATCTGCAGCTATTTAGGGTTTTATGTCTAGTGGTTGTGTGAATGTTGAATGTCTAGTTTTGACCAGGGCTTTGTATAAGATAGTTTGGATAGTCACATGCAGGCTATTAGAACAGATGACCTAAGGAGGTTGCTTTCCACCCTGCTTCTTTCTGGTTCTATTCCTTATTCAAGGTCAACATGTTTCAGAGTGGAGGCAAAACAAGGACACCCCTGAGATAGGTGTGGGTCTTACTTGAGCATATACCTCCTGCTGTCCCATCATTTACCTGTATCACGAGGCTGTTCCTCTGGAGTTCCTGGAAGGCATGGTGTCTGGTTTGGGCAAGACGTTGGCAGCTGGGTGACGCTTTGCGACTTTGGGCAGATCTCAGTGACTAAAATTTCAGAACAGCACAGCAGTGTTACAGCAGAGTTTCACAGATCTGACATTCTGGTGTTGACACAAAAGACCTGATTGTACTAATACAGGAAACCCTCACTATCTGTGGGTTCGACATTCGCGGCTTCAAATATTCGTGAATGCTGAACATACATCTTAAATATACTTACAGGAGCTCCTCAGGAGCTCCGTGCTTCCTGCCGCCTGGTTCCTGCCACCACCACTCTACTCCCGCCGCTGCCACCACACTTCTGCCCCGCCCAAATTTTTGAGTGGCGGCCCCTGAAGAATGTTTTTCATCTAGTTCCTGTCAAGTCACCTGTCCGGTCCCCCGCCGGACGCCGGTACAGCCATTGGCCACCCGACCGGGGTAGCCCTAAGATACATCCGGACATTTATTTCCTATCAATAGTACCACACTTCTGCCATCAGCAGCGCAGCTGTGCCCCCTCTGCCAGCCACTAGGGGCGCTGGGTTCATCCCCATCCCTGCCAACTTGTGAGAGTATGGCGGAAAAGCTGGGGTGCAGTTCCGAGATGATGTCTCTAATTTCTTGGATTTCCATATGGTCAGCCTACCTAAACCTCTAGCTTTGGTTAATTGTTCAACATTATCCAATTATTAATTCCCCTTTCCTGGAAATATGGACACTGGTCAATATGCTCCACATGAGCCTCCCCCAAATGCTGAATGGAGGCAATGAATCACTTCCTGGGACTTGCATGTGGCAGTCCTCTTTCCAGGTCCACAAAGTGCACTCCAAGTTTTTTTCTTCATTACAAATGACAAAAAGTGCCTCCACATGGCATGAAAAACACCTCATGAAAACAGGGATAAGTACTCATGGATAATAAGTTGTAATTACCACTCCATTGGGAGTGACAGATGAAACAGGCTTTACTGCACCTGCCATATACAGGTGCCATATACAGGTACATATACAAGGTAATGTGCCCTCCCTTTTTCTACACTCTTTTTTCCTGCCCAAACTATAGAAATCTATATCCATATTCCAGTCCTAGGAACCAACCCCCAAATCCCTCCTCTCTCAGTTAGCACAGGATGCAGAAGCCTCTCCTGCACGAGAAGACTGCACTTCACACACTTTGCAGAAGTTCAGATACATACATTAAACAGTGAGACAGCCTGTATGATGTAATATCAAATGACTTCCATGCTGCATGAAAAATAGTCATATGACAAAAAACACAAAACTGTTCCTGGAAAGCAATAAAAATAATGTGATGTTAAATTCACGATAAACAATCATCTAGTTTCTGTCAAACTCTCTATAATGAAAACAATTACTACATGCACATGCGTGTGCACACACACACACAGATATATAGACATGTGAGTGACACATGCAAAATGCATGCACACATATAGGTTGCATGTGAATGTGTATATGGACCAAAGCAGACACACATCCACATGTAAAAGTGTCATTATGGCATTATTGAACTGAAAAATTACAAGATTCTGAATGTTCCTTGAATGTTATATATAGTAATTTAAAACCCTGAAACCCTTCAAAGCAGAACAAACCATTTATATTTGTGAAACAAAGCTTTCTCATAACCTAAAATGAAATAACTGAGGATGGAACGGGTCTAAAACCTTTATATCTCTCTCTCTTTTTTTAGTATGCTGCCTGCAAAGCAGTAAGGTAAAATAACCAAAATGGTGGCTATGCATCGATTAACTATAACAGTTTCCCACAATGCAGAAACCACAAACACAGAGAAAGTCTTAGCTGAGTATTTATGGAGGCATTTTATGGCACTACATCTGCCACCAGTGTAAACTGGTGAACAATCAGCTCTCTCTGATATAGTGGTTAGTGGGCAGGGAGCATGATAGGGACAATGAGGGGTCCTGTGTGTGCAAGCTCACACATGAGGATGGGCTGCCAGGCCTGCTCAGAGGGCTGTAGTTGCTCACACTTACCCATGGCATCGTAGACTCTGAGTCCTATCATCAAAAGCAGGCACAGCATCTGGGCCCCCAGTGCAAGTGCAAGGGGCAGCCAGGAGGAAGATGCCGTTGGAGACACTGACCCAGAAAGGGAGAGAAATGAACAGGAAGGTGATGAACACAAACCACTTCTCACCCAAGAATTCAGGTCAGTCTGGAGCTCATGGGAACATTTCCAGCCTTAGAGCAGGACCCCACACAGCCCAGGAGCAAACCGCTGAGCAGACAGGTGCAGGGAGAGGGCAGAGAGGAAGGGCTCTGCCAGCACCCAGGGCAGAGGTGCAGGTCAGGGGGCAATTCTGCTGCCCTGTGGGGAGGGGAGGGGGACGGTGTCTCACCTTCCTGCTCCCCTCCCTGCAGCTGGTACTGCTGCACCTGCTGCTGCAGCAACAATGGCCTGTGGCTGCTGCCCTGGGGGCCTGGCAGACATATAGGCTTGCCAGGGGATGCCCCTGGTGTGCTCCCTCATCCCCCAGGTGTGGGGCTATGCCTCCCAGTCAAAGCCTCTGGGGTGTGGAAGAGGGGTCCTTCCTCCCCCTCCATTGAGACACTGATTGGCATGGGGCTCTGCCTGCCCAGCTCCTCCAGGTGGGTGGTGCAGGGCTACCCTTGTCATGACCAGGACTCCTGTAGGGAGGGGTCATCCTGGTCCCTCTTTAAGTCAGCACCCAGGGCTGGTGTTTCACGCACCCACCCCAAGTTACACTGTTGGGAATGGAGACCGAGGAAACCAGGAAACCCGGAGAATGTCTGGGCAGATGTGTGTGCGGGAGGTGCTAGAGCTGGAAGACAAGCACGTCCTGCTCCTGGCAGCCCCTGGGCAGGGCTGGGTCCTACACCTGGCAATGGAAACTCTTAGGAAACAAATTTCAGGGGGAAGCCCCAGATCCATCTCCCATGAGTGTACACTGCACTACAGAGAAGGAGCCATGGCATCCTTTATGGGAAGGAAAATAATGGGTTCAGTGGATTCAGGAGCCTGTAATGGGTGACAGAGGAGAGCTCCCTCCAGGCCCCAGGGATGCACTGTGAGGAGGAGCTGAGCTGCTGCAGCCATGGTCATCACCTTTGGGAACATCCACTAGGAACAAGGGAGCGAGTGACCAGCACTGAGGGAGGGAGCGACGTTTTCTTGTTTCTATCATGCTGTGATGTGTCAGAGGGGAATTGGGAAGACTGATCTCTAATCCAAGATGAGCTCACATTACTGCCCCACAGACCCCTTTAACCACACGGTACCTCTCTGCCCAGCAGGCAGATGAGTCTGTCTCTGCATCTTTGGAGAAGTTCCCAACTGGAGGTGTGATGAGAGGTCCTCCTGTCCCCTCGTTCCCAGTGGGGTCTAGCAGAGACGGGTAAGACTCGGCTGAAGTGCATTCAGGAGTGGGACGTGAGGAGGACTTAGTAGATCTTTGAGCAACTTCCACGCTGAAATGTAGCAGCTCAGAGTTATGGTTGGGAGGGAAAAATTTAGCCATCATGAGAAAAAAAATACATGCTGGTTTCAAACATGGTTTCTAGTCTGCATCTGGGCAAGAAAGGATGATCTTACAAAATATCTCATAATATAGACAGAAGTAAGAATGAGATACAGACAGACAGAAAAAATCCCCCTGAAGTCGCAGAGACCTGGGCCTTCCCCTGGGACAGGAGAGACCGAGGATCTCTCAGACAATTCCTATCTCTGCACGCAGCACCCGGTCGTCTGGTGATTTCAAGAGCAAGGCAGTGACCTGCCATTGCTGGTGCCATGAATAAGGATGGGGCTCCTTAATATAACTTATAGCACTTCCCCAACATATCTCCCTGACGCTCTCCAGGCCCATTACAAATCACTATATCCCAAGAAGCTGGCTGCCATCTGCTCTTTTCTCCACATTTCCCCTTGTGGAAGATCCCTCAGCGAGCGGATGAGACTGTCACAGCATTGCTCCACCCTGCCTGCACAGGCAAGAATCCAGCTTCTCCATGTGCTCCCCAGGACGACTTCTCTCCGGAGGAACAAAACTGCCTTCAGCTACAACAGGTCCCACAACTGACCCCAGCTCTGTGACAAATCTCTCCCTCACCACCACCACCCACCCAAAAAATGACCAGCTAAATCCTCCTCACAGCCCATTTCCTATATGTATCTTACTTACTTAGTCTACCCTGCTTTCTCCTACAGCAGTCACATCCCTGGGACACTGCAGATGGGTAAGACTTGACTGGAAGAGATTCAAGGGTGGGACATGAGGAGGAACTGGGGACTGAGCAGCTCAGACCCTGCAGAGGAGCAGCGCAGACCCATGAGTGCAAGGGAAGCGGTTACCTGTCCTGAGAGACTGGTCATCTTTCCAAACCATGGCCCCATTCTGCCCAGGCAAAAGGGAGTGGACTCTCATAACAGGGCAAGAGACACAGAGAGAAACTCCTCCCTGAGGTGGCCACAGCCTAGGTACTCCCAAGTGACATAGGGGAGTCAGACTGCCTGTGATCATTAAAAATACACAAAGACCATTCTTTCACAGAGCTGGGTTGAGGTAATATGCTGCTTTTTCCAGTAAAGCAATTTTTTTTTTGTCTCCAAGAAGCCACAAGCTCTGGCAGAACACGCCCGTCTGGAAGCAGCTGCACCTGGTCAGTCGATGCTTGGAGGACGGATGCACTGACCTGCTGTAGCCGGTGTGAAGATCTGGGAGGTGAGCAGCCAGCAGAGGACACAGATGGAGATCTGTACAATCAGCTTTCAGCAGCACTCTCATTCCCTTCTCAATGCCCCACTTCCAGGACACACACACATGAACTGAGACATGTGCCAGTGTGTGGCCTGTGCCCACTGTTTGCTTTCTGCTGCTCATGTGCCTCCTTCAGTGAGTGGCAGGGAGTGTAACTGTCACGTATAAGTGCTGCCTCCAGCCACTGTACAACAAAGGTCCTCTTCTTTCCACTCACACCGCAGGCAGGCTCCCCTACGCCTGAATGTGGTTCCCTTCACCTATGACTGATCCCAGAACTGAACCCAAACCCAGGACAAAACCTTCCTCCTCCCAGCACAGGACAGATGAATCCTGCCTACTGGGCTGTCCTGATGTAGCTGTAACAGCCATGGGGCCCTGGGGAAGCCATACCTGTGTGTGTCCCCAGGGCGGTAAGCAGTGGCCAGTGTTCAGGAGCAGAGTGCAGAGCGGTGCATCCCTGTTGCTGGTGCACTGTGTGAGTACAGGTGTGCACAGAGGCAGGAGCTCAGAGGCTGTGTATGACCAAGGGTGGGGTTACAGTTACCCCAACCTACTTGAAGGGGCCAAGCCCTCCCAGGACAGGAAGACTGATGGCCTGTCCCCTGTCCCAGCATAAACCGCACAGGAAGCCCTCGCTGCTGCTCTGAGATGTGCTGCTCCTGCACAAAGAGCACAGGGCTGGGACCTGTACTGGGTGGGTGACAACTGAGTGGTGGGGTAGGGGATGCTGCACAGTCTGGGTGGGGTGTAACGAGAAATTGTTAAACTCCTTGTTAAACTCCTTGTTAAAATATTGTTAAACTCATGTGTGTGTCACATGGCTGCTCAACTGTGAACACAGCTTTTCTATGAAAAAGCTGAGGTTTCATCCCCTCAGTGGTGCTTAATGGACTTTATAACCCAGTGAAAACTGATTGCTACAGGAATCAGTTGCTCTGGCAAGTTAGATTGCCTTTTCCCTTTTGAAAACCCACCCCAGCAGCTGAGCAGGAAAAACAAACAAACTGGGCAGTATCTAGGAGCCATCCGAGGTTCAGAACTTGTGAAGGGTGAGGGGATGGTGTGGCCTGAATATCTGGTTTGGATATTAGAAACTGTTGACTCCAGGACTTTAACTTGGTGCTCTCAGGGCTTCTCCTCCAACTCCCAGCCCCTCTGTGATACTTGCTGGGATGGGAACAGGCTGGGGAAAGTTGGCCTCTCCATCCAGGATGAGAATATTTTTATTCTCTTTCCTCCTCTCATTATCATGCCATCAAAGCAGCAGCAGTGCCGTCAGCAGCAACACCAGTAGCATCTTGGACACCGAGTCCTCACTTTGGACACTACAGGGAGGAACAGTGTGTGATTGTGATTTCATTCTTCCCCCAACTCCCATGCAGACAGTGACTCTCCCTTCTGTACCGCATGTCCAGGGCTGAGCAGGATCTCTCTCTGCCGCACTCAGCTGCTCGCAGCACAAGAGACTGGACATGCCCCTACTCCAGGAGACCTGGTCACTGCTGTTTGCTCAGCAACATGTATCTTCCCAGTCCCTGATGGAGAGACCGAGATGACACAGGCCAGCGACCATTGTTGGCATCTGCAGGAGGATACTGAAACTTAGTCCCCCGATCCTCTTACTCTGACACTCCCAAGCTGGTGACACTCCTGGGTCCCTTCAGGGTACGGACCTCCCCATGGCCTGGTCAGACCTGTCAAGACACACCTACAGTTCCCAACCACCGCACCCCCATTGCTTATGGGGCTGGGTGATGCTGCACTGATGGGAGGTAGTTTATTTTCAGAGCCAAGGTGAGATTCCTGTAGCAATTGGAGGTCATGGAGTCTCCCTTTGACTCCTGCCATTGTAGTTGACAGTGTCACCTGTGCCTGGGCAGTCTCCAGGGATCGAGCATGCTTCTTTTTCTCATATTTTTTGGGAGCCTGTGACACTCCCTTTGCCTGTAAATACTATTAGGTCTTAGGAATTCCTGTTGGCCCTTGTGATTCCCAAAATAGAATCAAAACCCATCGTAGGACCAAGAAAAGGACGTCTGGGGATTTAATGAGGGCAGAGAACCCCATTACTGCAGGCAGCAGGAGATGCAGCTGGGCTGTAGGGATGAAAGAGAGTGCTGTCAACCAGAACACACATTAAATCATAGGAGAAGAAATAATAAAGTTGTGTCTGTGTCTATGTGGATTCGCAGACTGACCCGGGGTCCAGCAACAAAATGCCGCAGGCTCCTTGATATAGTTTATGTCTTTCTTGCTCTCCCTCCAAATGGCAACATCATTCTGTCATTATTTCCTCATGGGTCCTTTATATTTCCCACACCGTACAACGTCCTTTCAGCAGCAGCAATCTCTTGGATCAGTCCCAGATGCATCGTCTCCCTGGTGTCTTTATCCAGTTCATTTTTTCCTTTTGTTTCCTTCCTCCCCTCACAAATGTAGAACTGAGTGTCTCCACAGCCTCCAGCTCTAAGTTGCACACCTTGCAAGTATACACAAACACCAACATGATAATTGTGATGACTGAAACCAAAGCAGTTTGGGTCCAGCAGTGGTAAGAGACACATGTGCGGGAGCCCGTTACGCCCCTCCAAGCCCAGGACCTCCCCCACCCAGTGACCCCCAGCATACACGGCGGACCTCCAACTTGACCCCCAGCACACCCAGGAGGTAAGGGGGGGCCATGGTGGGAGGGGAGTAGCCCGCTGC